TGTTAAAATGAGATCATACGGCTTGGGATGTTGTTGGGGTTGTATTGATGACTTTATTCCTTCTCTGTTCATGGTCATAGGACTGTTTCATCTGTCCTTGAAAACTGCCCTCCTTTGTCCCAAGTTCCTGTGGCACACTTCAGTGCATTGTGAGAGCGAATAACACAGCCTGCTAACTCATTATTTTTAAATCCTTTATATTAAGTTCACTTGCTTGCTTGCTTGCGCGCTTACGACCGTGCAAATCTTTCGGTCGTTTTTTAACCCACTTCCCGTGATCCAATCGAGCTGACATTTTGCACACAGACTCGTTGTGCGTGACAATTTATTTTCGTGAATTTTTTTTTCCAAAATTGTACACTTTTTAGGAAAAATAAATTATATTTAATTACCAATTGCTTAATGGTGGCAGGCAATCATCTGACCCATAGGTGGCAGCCATCTCAAGCCAGAGGACGAGAGGACTCTAGCCGCCACGCATATAAAGGATTTAGAGTGAAAAACTTTGTTTTTACGGGTTATTTTTTTAATGATTCCATCAATGTTTGCAGTTGAGTTTCACGACAACCTAAAAACTTCACTCCAGTGCTGCACTTCTAACCTAATCGCTGTAAAAATATATTATCGCAGATATTAGTTAGTCGACTAAAAAGGTGCGATTTCGTTTGCAGCTGGCCATGCCTGAATGTCACGCTGCTCTCTACCGGGTCACCGCTGACACCAACCTCAGCCGGAGTTCTTGGTCCACGTGGAGTTCACCCACCGTTGACAGGCGTGGCTATCGCTTACACCAGCGGACAACAGGGCGACTGCGGTCACCAATCTCAAACCATGGACCACATTGCAACGCCACTGGCCCGCTTCGACCGTTCACCCGACAACGTTTCAGGGATTCATCTTCTTGGTTCTTTCGATAAAGTCACGTAGAAGGGAAACAATAAAATAATAAAAATATAAAACAATTAAATGATCACGACGTTTCGACTGCAACACACGCAATCATCGTCAGGTGTGAAATCCACAGCAAGAAAATTTGAAAAAACCGCCACTTTTTTGTATTTCTTGCTGTGGATTTTACACCTGATGATGATGGCTTTTGTTGCAGTCGAAACGTCGTGATAATTTGATTGTTTTATATTTTTATTATTTTATTGTTTCCCTTCTACGTGACTTTACCGAAAGAACCAAGAAGATGAATCCCTGCAGTCACGAAAGCTTTAAATCAAAATGTAACGTTTCAGGTGTTCACCATGCGGCTACTCCTGAAGCCATCCACTGGCTTCGCTCACCAACGGCGGACGTGAAATATGTCAATGTTGCCGATCAACGCCGCGCCATACGAAACACGAAAACGACGGAGAAACCTCATGGAAGCAACTCTGGTGTCCGGACGAATGCAGGTGGTGTCCTGGGGCTGATTTTGGGATTCCTGCACGCTCCGGAAAGTCACTGACATTGACCGATTGGAGATTGCCCAGGGCCACGGCATTGGGGTATGAACCGCCTCACCGAAGCATGCATGGTTGCAGGTGCCGAGATGATAAAGATAATCATAATGAGTGGTTGACTCAGTGCTGCCTCTGCCGTTTTAAACTGTTAAAGCTGCAAACACTGGTCGACCTTTGTTGTCGGATTGACGCTTTTGCTTTCAGTCGATTGCCACACAGGTGCTGGCTGGAGTTATTAGGGTGGGAATTTCAGCATGAGTTTGTCCTGGATTTAGATTTGGCTATAGATATAACTTCCCGAATTAAAACCCATAATAATCCTCGTTCCTTTTGACAGACATTCATTCTCTGGACTCCGTAAGAAAAAGTAAAGGTTTACTTTTTGTTTTATGCCCATGCCAAACTTGGTTTGGATATTTGAGACTAAAGAATGCCTGCTGATTTTAAATAATTGTATAATTTGTTTTGACACAATGGGTAGAGTGAATAACAGAGCATAATATGTGGCTAGTGAAAAACAACGCAACCTATAAACAGATCATCTACACTAATAGGGTTTTTCCCCTTTTTTCTGGCAACAAAACTGACACCTTTTGCAAGGAATCATGCTTACATTAACCGCAATACCTGCAGTCAAATGCATTTGACTGCAGGTATTGTGGTTAATGTAAGCATGATTCCTTGCAAAAGGTGTCAGTTTTGTTGCCAGAAAAAAAAAAGGGGAAAAACCCTATTAGTATATTTTGGTACTGGCAAAGGAGATCCCATGAAAGATCATCTACAATGCACTGAATCTAATCATATCTGGGAATAATAGTCAGGGATGAACCAACACAGTGCTTGGATGGACCAGCATCTTGCATAACAGGTGCTAGAGACTATGTGCCTACGTTGTGGACAGTAGAGGGCGGTGCAGCAAAAATCAATTGTTGTACTGTATCTCTATGTTCCCCCGCCTTCACCCCCCCTCCCCGACGAGCACTGTTCAATTATGGTCCAATCACCAGAGGTGTACCATGGTGGGAGCAAAAAATGGGCAGCTGTCTCCTACCCGCTATCCAACTCCCCCGCCATCCAACGAGTTTGTACCTTCAGACACACTTGTTGTTTCCTACCAACATTCAACGTGCCCATATACAAGGTGCAGTGGCGTAGTCACTACATTATACTGGTAGGAACCTCAGTGGTTACACCAGCCCACAGGGGATTATTGTGTCCGCCCGTCGTGTATACAAAAATGGGAGGGGTGGGGCTGGGTGGACAGGGGAGGGTGGGAAGGGGCTGGGTGGGGAGGGGAGGGGCTGGGTGGGGTGGAAGGGGTGGGGCTGGGTGGGGAGGGGCTGGTCACCTCGTGGTGCCCTTAAAAAACTCAACGTTTAACCTACTCACGCCGGCTTGTGCCCGCCCTCACAGTCGGGCATATTTGCGGAATACACCACGCCGCCGTTGACCCTGGCCATTGACCGAGCAACCCAACGTTCCTACCAGCTCCCTCCGCAGGAATGTATTATCAGTGGCGTAGTAACTACATTATCAGTGGCGTAGTGACATTATCAGCTCAAGGGGTGCAGGTCAGGTAGATGTCTCGCACGGTCGCACCCAGGCTGTGAAATATCGCGGCTCCTCTTGCCCCAATCACATCATCATCATTACGTTCAACGGTCTCGAACATTAAACGCCGTAGCGGCACTCCATCTTCGCAAAATGCAAACCACTCCAGCTCCGTAGTAGTTACCTACTTGCAATGTAATCGAATGAAATGAATATCCCAGAAACGGAGTTACTGTGTCCAGTGTTCTTTTACACAAGTTCCTGTCACTCAAAGCCAATTACATGTATTAATGTTACATTACGTTTCGTTTCCGTAAACAAAAACTGTATGACTTCCAATGCTACATTTTTGAAAACATTTCTCACGGTGGCTTTCAAGGGGGGCCCGAACTCGTAGTTTTGGCCACCCAGGGCGGGCGGGCGGGGGGGGGGCAAGGCACCCCCTGCCCCCACACTCGTCACGCCACTGAAAATGTGTGGAACTATCTTCTATCTGCGGTCAGAACATCCTGGATGGAGCAACACGTTGTCTGTCAAATGGATCGCAGGAGGGGAGAATGTGTGGCTTTTATTCCACACCTGTCGTTAATATAACAAGGCAGTTTATATGTAACTCGACTCCCGGTGCGGCCACGCATTTAAGCAGCACGCTACTTTTTTGTCATGCAGCAATATTTTGTATTTGTGACATTGAAATTAAAATGTGTCCACTATTCTTAACAGCAATGTATATACATTTTTATTTAAAGCTTTCGTGACTGCATGGATTCATATTCTTGGTTCTTTCGGTAAAGTCACGTAGATAGAAAAATAATAAAATAATATAAATATATGTTTTATATTTATATTATTGTATTATTTCCCTTCTACGTGACTTTACCGAAAGGACCAAGAATATAGCAATGTATATATAGTCACGGGCCTTATGAATGTTTTCGCACGGCTGATGTGCATTATGACAAATTTGCAGCAATGCTGGAACCCATTCAACACATACAAAACCGTGGTTCTTTGGGCACTGTGCAGAATGCACTCGCGAATAGAACGTATCACAAAATAAAGCCGCATTCGAATTGTCGTAAGAAATAACCTACCATGTAAAGCATTTCCAGGATAACACAAAACAATGCTTTGAATTTCGATTTAAGGCTTTCGTGACTGCAGGGATTCATCTTCTTGGTTCTTTCGGTAAAGTCACGTAGAAGGGAAATAATAAAATAAAAATAAAACATAATTAAATAATTCTCACGACGTTTCGGCCACAACGCAAGCAGCCGTCCTCAAGTGAAGACCAGGTCTGTCGGGGAGACAGCGTTTGTCTCCCCGAAACGTCGTGAGAATTATTTTATTATGTTTTATTTGTATTATTTTATTACTTCCCTTCTACGTGACTTTACCGAAAGAATGATGGCAGAGCAATCAGCGCTGACATCAACAGAGTCTGAGACACGAGGAAGCATTACGCATTGTGTTCTAATCAAACCTGTGCGGCAGAAGAATTGAAGCACTGTATATCAAATGTATGTGGCATAGTAATGTAGCATTTAAACGACATTACACGTGCGTGAATGTACATTTTTGCAGCCACGCTTAAGAAAGTGGCAATTGCCAGTTCCCTGTTTGTTTCCAGCCCTCAATTCTATAACAAATGAACTAGGTGTTGAATTTCGCCAATGGGTGGAAAATATATATTGCGGCCCAACCTTTCAAACACAACATTTGTTTAGGTGTCCAATTCTTCCGCCTCTCCCCACCTCCAACACAATCCTACTCCAGTGCTGCCCACCAATCAAACGTGCACCCCCCCCCCCCCCCGTCGTTACCTATCCACGTGCTCACACAGGTGAAATAAGCTGTTAGCCTTCTTGGTACACGTGCTTCTGATCATCGCCACGAGGCCTGGGTCAAGCGAAGCTTGCTCGGGCATGCAGCCCATCTGGTTTTTTTTTGTGTGGACAAGGGAAGATTCGAGCCCGGGCAGGCGGCGTGGCTTCCCCCACCACGCAAGCGTGACTCACTCAAGTCCAAGACACCGCAAGCACAGCAACAGGCTGTGTGATAGCCCAACCCAACCGGAGGGAGGGGAGGGCATAGCCCAACCCGTAAGGCCCAGCGATGCACAACAGAACACAGCCAAACACACAAAGAGGCAGACAGCAGCTGTGTGACTTGTTCATCTGTGTTGACGGCGGCAGCGCGGCGGTGCTGCGGTGAAGCTTCGGCAAGTTTCTGCAGTAGAGATTAGAGGTAAGTTTGGCTTCATCTCACGTGAGTTTGATACTCGGTTGGTCTCAACTTCTTTGTCGTTTTATAGTGCTTACTTTCCAAGGAACTTTTTGCACACAAGTGTCAGCTGTGTGCGGAGTTCAAGTGAATCCATTGCCATAGTGCTGGCTTGCTGTGCATGGTCACCCTGAACATATTGGTGCATAGCAGTGTAGATTATTGAAAATGTAATTTGGAGGGACACATGCGATTTTAAAAAATCCACAAGCGATTATGTACGCTTAGTTATTGAAGGTTGACTGGAATCACAATTATGAAATATGTAACGAGGTGGACAAGAGAGCAGCAGAACTTTGGATGTGCCAGAAAAAAAAGGTTTAACTCTGTGTGTGTATATATTAGCCACTTCGACATAGAAACTTGACATTGAAAAGCGAAAAAAAGCCTGAAAAGTTTGGAAAGAATCACGGAGAGGCGTATGTTTGGCATTGCAGGATCAGAACGTTCATACTGGAGGAATCCGATGAGCTATAAAGCTCTCTTTCAACAGACATGAGAAGCGATAAGAGGTACATATGGTGAGAGAATAAAGTCAACGAAGCCAAGTTAGAGACATTGTTTAGAGAGGTAGACTTGGACACTTCGCTTAGTGGCCGAGACTGAATGTGAGTTTGCAGCCATAGGGAAGAAGATGCCTTTACGAGAGAGATGACACGGGTGAGATTAGCTTGCGTGTAGGAGCTCGGTAGATGGCTAGATTGCAATAGACGGCTTGGTGAGGCAACTTATTCATCAGTGGATGGATCCTGGCCGAGATAATCGGTCTACACTGCTCGTTTCAACGCTGCTGTACCGTGTGGCTTGCACTCCACCGACGTGAAGGACTTAAGGCCCTCCGTCCTAGAGTAACGCAGTCCAGGTGACCGTTGTTTACCTATGGGACACACACACAAAGTATAAATAACAGAGGTGTGGACTCGAGTCATGTGACTTGGACTCGAGTCAGACTCGAGTCATGAATTTGATGACTTCAGACTCGACTTGGACTTGCATAACAATGACTTTGTCCCACCTCTGAGGTGTGGACTCGAGTCATGTGACTTGGACTCGAGTCAGACTCGAGTCATGAATTTGATGACTTCAGACTCGACTTGGACTTGCATAACAATGACTTTGTCCCACCTCTGAGGTGTGGACTCGAGTCATGTGACTTGGACTCGAGTCAGACTCGAGTCATGAATTTGATGACTTCAGACTCGACTTGGACTTGCATAACAATGACTTTGTCCCACCTCTGAGGTGTGGACTCGAGTCATGTGACTTGGACTCGAGTCAGACTCGAGTCATGAATTTGATGACTTCAGACTCGACTTGGACTTGCATAACAATGACTTTGTCCCACCTCTGAGGTGTGGACTCGAGTCATGTGACTTGGACTCGAGTCAGACTCGAGTCATGAATTTGATGACTTCAGACTCGACTTGGACTTGCATAACAATGACTTTGTCCCACCTCTGAGGTGTGGACTCGAGTCATGTGACTTGGACTCGAGTCAGACTCGAGTCATGAATTTGATGACTTCAGACTCGACTTGGACTTGCATAACAATGACTTTGTCCCACCTCTGAGGTGTGGACTCGAGTCATGTGACTTGGACTCGAGTCAGACTCGAGTCATGAATTTGATGACTTCAGACTCGACTTGGACTTGCATAACAATGACTTTGTCCCACCTCTGAGGTGTGGACTCGAGTCATGTGACTTGGACTCGAGTCAGACTCGAGTCATGAATTTGATGACTTCAGACTCGACTTGGACTTGCATAACAATGACTTTGTCCCACCTCTGAGGTGTGGACTCGAGTCATGTGACTTGGACTCGAGTCAGACTCGAGTCATGAATTTGATGACTTCAGACTCGACTTGGACTTGCATAACAATGACTTTGTCCCACCTCTGAGGTGTGGACTCGAGTCATGTGACTTGGACTCGAGTCAGACTCGAGTCATGAATTTGATGACTTCAGACTCGACTTGGACTTGCATAACAATGACTTTGTCCCACCTCTGAGGTGTGGACTCGAGTCATGTGACTTGGACTCGAGTCAGACTCGAGTCATGAATTTGATGACTTCAGACTCGACTTGGACTTGCATAACAATGACTTTGTCCCACCTCTGAGGTGTGGACTCGAGTCATGTGACTTGGACTCGAGTCAGACTCGGGTCATGAATTTGATGACTTCAGACTCGACTTGGACTTGCATAACAATGACTTTGTCCCACCTCTGAGGTGTGGACTCGAGTCATGTGACTTGGACTCGAGTCAGACTCGAGTCATGAATTTGATGACTTCAGACTCGACTTGGACTTGCATAACAATGACTTTGTCCCACCTCTGAGGTGTGGACTCGAGTCATGTGACTTGGACTCGAGTCAGACTCGAGTCATGAATTTGATGACTTCAGACTCGACTTGGACTTGCATAACAATGACTTTGTCCCACCTCTGATAAATAACGTGTCTACTTTGAAAGCAACTTCATGACTTTTGGCACTTTGCATTGTCCGCGAGACCCGTCATCGTAGTCACTCGGTTCTGGCAAATTATATTTTTTCGCCAATAATTATCACCCCTCTTGTAAGCCCTTCAATGTGAAGACGTCCACGCGAAACCTTTACATTCTTGAAATGATCACGCCGTTGCCGCAGGCCACGTGGTTGAACACAAACACGTGGACTTCTATTGTCGCCACGGCCAATCAGAATGCAGCCGTTCACCGTCAGCGGCCATATGGCCACCGCATCTTGCGGTCGTAATTCGAAGGCCATTAAATATTTAAATCCACAACCAAACACCACTATCAATGAACTGGGCTCTCCTTACGGCCTCCTTGGAGGCCTTCCATTTAGTACGTACGCATGGACGGGGGGGGGGGGTTAACCCAAATGCGTACGCTTGTGTGTGTATGGGGGTGTAACAAGTAAACCCGTAAAAACAAAGTTTTTCACTATAAATCCTTTATATGCGTGGCATCGGGGCGGCTCGAGTCCTCTCGTCCTCTGGCTTGAGATGGCTGCCACCTATGGGTCAGATGATTGTCTGGCAGCATTAAACAATTGGTTATTAAATATTTAAAAAAAATTCCCTAAACAGTGTAAAATTTTGGGAAAATTTTTTCACGAAAATGCATTGTCACGCACAACGAGTCTGTGTGCAAAATGTCAGCTCGACTGGATCACGGGAAGTGGGTTAAAAAACGACCGAAAGATGTGCACGGTCCTAAGCAAGCAAGCGAACTTAATATAAAGAATTTAAAAAGTACGCGTACCTACAGGGAGTGGGGAAGGGGTCAAGTTTTGACAGATTTTTGCGTACCTACCAAATTTATGGCCTCGTTGGTGGGTGTGGGTTGTTGCCGAGGAAACGTCGGTCTCGCGAGTAGCTTGCAGAGGAAACATCTGTCAACGCGAACTACAGTGCCCTAGCAAATCTGGTACAATAACTCGTTCTTAATCTTGTCTGCCACCCACTCTCCCCAGCCGCCCCCTCCTCCAATCGCACCACACCCAGAGGGAGAGGGGGGATCGAGTTGTCACGCTGCCCATCTGTCTCTGCATCGTTCCGTGGTGCTGCCATTGTGTGCATTTCCCCAACGATGGCAATGTCTGTTACAAATTGTACTCGCGACGCTGTGTCGTTGAGATAAAAGTATTTAAGGTTTGGAATTGTACACACATCAGTGCATCACCCTGTGGAAGCTACTCGCTTAAGAGAACTTTAATAGGTTTCTTTCTGCACACGAGGACAGATGTTAATGGCCTGCAGGTATAGTTTGTTGAATGGTAGTCAAGATGGTGGTTTTCTATAGGATCATTAGTTACCATTCTGAGACCATCAACTGGTTATACTTTTGAGAACCAACTTTAATCGTGAGTGGCTGCGTGGATTCGATCCCTGGTTCTCTAACCTCAGTGCCACCAATACCACCTGTGCTATAGATAACTTCCATTGACACAACCTAATTGTAATCGTAGGACCAATGAATGAACACACTTTGCAAATTATACAGTTGCACAGGCTTGTGTGGCCAGCACTATGAGCGTTGGTTGACAACTGGCCAATGATTTTAACAAATATCCGTGACTGTCTAGAACGGAAGCTCGAATTCCCCTCGAGAGAAACTTTCATGGAAAAACGTTTAACAATCGGTAAGCAGCAAATGTGTTTAAAAAACAATGTAAACGATTCCACTGTTTTCTGATCATCATAATTTCACAACATCCACTTATTCTCAGTTTGACAACATTCAGATGTGTCAACGAGTCGGGAAACTACTACGTCGTGTCAGGAGACAAAACAAAATCATAGGCAGACAATATAATAATGTGCTATCTTGATTTGAAGCTTTCGTGACTGCAGGAATCCACGTGGGTATACCTACGTGACTTTCCCGAAAGAACCAAAGAGTATAATAATGTCCTGTCATGCCTAAACCTTTTCTTCTCTCCCTATATTGCGTTTTCTATATTTGGTCAGAACAGCTGACATTCTGAAGTCGAGTTTTGCTTAAACAAACGCAGCATTTATAACATTTGTAAGATTGATCAAATTAGTTGATGCTGCATTGGCAGTGGTGCACAAGAACAATTCATTTTTTGGGCAGGCTTTCATGATCAATATGATTCATAATGAGTTTATTTTGGGTTAAATCATCGTGTAGGTATAATGCCAGTTTTTTTTTTACAAAAAATTTACATAGGTGCACGATCTAACCCGAAATAAACGAATTATGATTCGCAAACACAATTAAAATAAAAACTCAACGCAGCCGTCAACCACTGCCTTAAATGGGAAAAATAAATATATAATCAGCACATTCTGTGCGATAAAGGGCCGTTGCCCGAAACGTCGCCACATATTTATACATCTATTTTTTATTTTAAGGCAAGGTTGAGTGAGTTAAAAAAAATAAGATTCACTTCGCTTTCATTTTGGCACAATTAGAATGCATTGGCGTCCCTACTTTACATAATAGGCATTGTTAAATGACTTAAGTGCTTACATTATTTTTCGATGAAAGTTGTGATGGAGTTAAAAATGATTGGCTTCGTAAAATGAAAGCGTGCAAACAACTTCTGCATGCGACTTCAGTGAGAATGGCAATCTTATACTTTCTCGTCTTGTGCCTCATGCTTGCAACATTTATCCGTAAATGTACAGCTTTGCATAAGCTTGTGGGAAAACTCTCAGTGGCAAAACTTAAAAATACAATCGCGTACAGTGTATAAAACAGGTGACATCCCAATAAATCATCTTTCATAACAGAAATCATATACATAATTCATTTATATTCAAACTTAATTTGGAGCTTTCGTGACTGCAGGAATTATTCTTTGGTTCTTTCGGTAAAGTCACGTATAAAGATAAAATAATAAATTAAATTAAAGAGGCACTCTTTGTGCCTATGTTTGCTCTCTCTCTATGTAGCTCTGTGATATCTGTCTGCTTATATGTCTGTCTATGTTTCTGGTTCTGTGCTTAATCTCTCTCTCAAATTTAGCATTCTCAGGAAGAACGTAATCAACCAGATAGGGTGTTGACTGTTATGTTATCCGACTCTCTGTTGTATTACATTACATTTCTGAGTATACTAGATTTGTGTTTCTATTGAATTTATACCTGATGACGATTCCTTGTGTTGCAATCGAAACGTCGTATGCTAGTATTTAATTTAATTTATTATTTTATCTTTATACGTGACTTCATTTATATTTTTAATGCAGTGTTGTCGGCAAATGTGTTGCGTTTTACGTTTTTGTGCTTTTGCCCCGCGTCCAACGTTATGTCACCGATACAAAATATGAGAAACACATTTTGGTTTATGCAATTCGAATGAGGAAAAACTGCAAACTTTGCAAGGTCTGTGTTTACCAGTCCGCTAATTGTACACGGTGGTCCAGATGTCTTGTGACACCCATTTCATTCTCGAACACGTATATTTTTAAAAGTAAAGTTGATTTCAAACAGAAACGAATATGCAAATGGGAATGTTTTAATTAATTTTGTGGTCACAAGACATTGGAACACCGTGTACATTACAGACTGGTGTGCATAACGCTTGTCAAGCGGTCTGGATGTCAACTACATGGGCATTAATTCTAGATTTGAAGCTGTCGTGACTGCAAGGATTCAAACTCTTAGTTTTTTTCGGCAAAGTCACGTAGCTGTGACGTGTTCCACCTGAAGACGGAGGCTTGTGTTGCCTCCGAAACGTCGTGATTTAATTTAGTTGTCTTCATTTATTTGATTTAATTTTTTACCTACGTGACTTTACCGAAAAAACCAAAGAGTACATGAGCATTCTTGTTGGAGTGTCAATGCGTGTACAGCAGAGGGCAGCAAATCATGAACAACCTTTGTTTAGCAGTGCGAAGCAGTGAGCGTATTGCTAAGCACTGAATAGGGGCTTTCTGTTACTCAATAGCTACTGTTAATAGTGCGACTCTTCAAGCGCCAATTTAAAAGCAGGTTATTATAAAAAGTTTTTAAAATGTTATTCGTATCGGTCCCCATGATGTTAACAAGTGCAGACTCCTATTAGTAGTATTCACTCATCTCTCTGGCATCCATGTGCTATGAATAATGCCATTGGCTAAAACGTTGCCTATTAGAAATGTTTTTGTTTAATACCGCAGTCGTATTGAGGAATGTTGCGTGTTTATGTCACTCCTGCTTGTGCACCACCACAAAAGCAGCATCATCGCACCTCCAATTAGCAGAGGTGTGGACTCGAGTCATGTGACTTGGACTCGAGTCAGACTCGAGTCATGAATTTGATGACTTCAGACTCGACTTGGACTTGCATAACAATGACTTTGTCCCACCTCTGAGGTGTGGACTCGAGTCATGTGACTTGGACTCGAGTCAGACTCGAGTCATGAATTTGATGACTTCAGACTCGACTTGGACTTGCATAACAATGACTTTGTCCCACCTCTGCCAATTAGCACGGTTGGCTACGAACGGTGCGAAAGAAGTTCAACGTGCATACACATACACGATTTGTATTCTTAAATGTGGATTTTCTGGAATGCTAAGGAAACAAGAGACCGCATGTGGCCTTTATTTGTTTTCATGCCGATGGAAAGAATAACTCTTTTAATTTGCTGCATCGATGTCCCATTGCCAAGCCATTCAAAGCATCACGACTTGCCTGTGCATGCCCCAGTTATGGGTGTCTTAAAAAAACACAAGTGAAATAATATACGATTGTTTCGAGGCGGCTAATCATCAGTGACCTTGCGTAAGTGATTTCCACCCACATGTATTAATTGGGCAATAATATCTCCATAAATATAAATAAAAGGCAAAGTTGTGATTATGTGTGCCTGTTCAAAATGTTTAGCGTACTTCCCCGACATGCAACAAACTTGAAATTTTCCATGTGGGTACTTTCCAGACTGTACACCATGCAAAAATGATTAAAATACATTTCTGTGTTTTTTTTGGGGGGGGAGGGTGGGGAGCTCAATAACGCATAGATTTTTTGCACGGCAAGTGAGCTGTGACGTCAAATCTGTCACGTGACCCGCGCACGTGGAAGCGTAACGCATTGTAGTGTTGTGGTTAGCGCGCTGCGCTACGAATCCTGGCGACCCGAGTTCGATTCCCGCTCACCGGTGACGATTATTTTAACTGGTCCTGGGCCTCCCCTAGGTCGACTCAGCCTCAAACGAGTAACTGATGTGGTGTGTGAACATCGCCACTGGGGAGACAACGGCGGCCGGGCGTGGTGAATCCAAGTCCCGGGCGAAGCCGGGTAGTACAACTCGTTTTAATATATAGAGGACCGCAGAGATTGGGTAATTGTTGGCACCGGCTCAACATCTGGCTGCCTTTTCCATTTGTCTGTGGTTGCTCGCACCTCTGAGTCATTCTGTGTCTCTCTTCGAGAGTGAGCGAGTACTGTGTCCTTTACAAGTTGAAAATTGTGATTTAAAAATAAACGGGCACCAATTCATCAAGCAGCGAACAACCCCTGCAGTTTTCTGACAACGCGTATTGCTTTTACGTAATTGTTTTTTTTATATACCCCGTGTTCTTGGCACCGCTCTTCTCAATGTCCCCTTTAGTTTTTGACGGCGAGCAAGATGGTGCAGGGCTTCGTATTTGCCTTCCCTGTCATCTTCATCGTCATCGCCATCATCGTGGCGTTCATCCTGTGCTGCGTGTGCCCCTGCTGCCCCATCTACAAGCGTCTTCAGCCAACCACGCAAGACTACACGGCAGGTGAGGCTCGCACAAGGGAGCTGTGGTCTATGGGGCCGTCCATAAATGACGTCACGCAGCTAGGGGGGGGGGGTCAGATTTTTGTGACGATGTGTGACGAGAGTTTGAGAAATGTGACGTCGCATCAAAATGCGCAACTTTAAATAAATATAGAATTGTTATAACAACACTAATTGTTATAACAACACTCCTACAACATCAGAGTGCAGCGCAACATTCAATACTTTATTCATAGCATCATGGGCTTTCTTGGTAGCACATTTGATGTGCTGTAAAGAAGGACCGTTACCAGAAACAGTGTTGGTGATGAGTGCGAGTGCTTTTTGTTAGCTGTGCGTGTGCGCCACTGCCAACGTGGCGTCATCAAATCATCTGTCCGGAGTAGAGTATGACCGTGAAATTAATCGGGATGGACAACATTAAAGAGGGTGCTCGGACAGAAAATTGCGGCACTACGCAAAGCGACTGCCGTGGCCAGAGACCAGAGAGAGCGGAGATTAAGTTTGATTTGGCCTCTTGGTCGACCCCCTGTGGACGGCCGACGGACGAGAAGAAGTGATATAATAGTAGGTTTTTACCCTTTAAACTGGTACAGAACTGACACCTTTATTCAAGGCATCATGTTTGCAATGACCACAACACAAGTAGTCAAAAAAGCAAACAAAAAGAAGCAACTCTGATAAGGATGATAATATGCACTGTCCTTGAAGTTGATAAGGACAGTGCATATTATCATCCTTATCAGAGTTGCTTCTTTTTGTTTGCTTTTTTGACTACTTGTGTTGTGGTCATTGCAAACATGATGCCTTGAATAAAGGTGTCAGTTTTGTACCAGTTAAAAGGGTAAAAACCTACTATTATATTTTGCCACTGGTAAAAGAGATCTCATAGTGTAAGAAGTGAGATGACAGGGAAAAGATGGACAGGAGAAATGGATGTTGCAAGATTAGAGAAATGTGGACAAAGGATAGAGATGTAAATGAGATTAGATTAGCGATGCAAAGACGAGGTAAACGCCTAGCGAAATGACAGATGTAGGCAATGTATGTATGTACGTTGAATTTATTTCTCGCACCGTACGTAGTGAACTATACTCAATCTTAACTTTGGAGCTTTCGTGACTGCAGGAATTATTCTTTGGTTCTTTCGGTAAAGTCACGTATAAAGAAAAAATAATAAATTAAATAATAACATACGACGTTTCGATTGCAACACAAGCAATCGTCATCAGGTATAATGAAATAGCGACATAAAATCTAACCAGAAAAAATTATAGACAGACATATAAGCAGACAGATATCACCAAGATACACACAGCGGGCAACACAGGTACAGAGAGGGGTGATCGTCTCTGTGGGGTGGCCTTAAATAGACAGAGGGGGGCGGAGGCAGCGAGAGGGAGGGGTTAGAGACAAAATTTACATGTCAATGAGTGCTCACTCCTTTTTGTTGCACTCATTGACATGTAAATTTTGTCTCTAACCCCTCCCTCTCGCTGCCTCCGCCCCCCTCTGTCTATTTAAGGCCACCCCACAGAGACGATCACCCCTCTCTGTACCTGTGTTGCCCGCTGTGTGTATCTTGGTGATATCTGTCTGCTTATATGTCTGTCTATAATTTTTTCTGGTTAGATTTTATGTCGCTATTTCATTATACCTGATGATGATTGCTTGTGTTGCAATCGAAACGTCGTATGTTATTATTTAATTTATTATTTTTTCTTTATACGTGACTTTACCGAAAGAACCAATGAACTATACTCATCGGGAGAAACGGGGGAAGGACAACAAACTAAACACAAAAGCAGTTCTCGAGAAATTCGTTTTCAATGAGATGTAGTGAGACAAGAGCTGCAAATAAGACGTAGACGAGACAGATGAATTGATTGCTAATCGCCTTTTTATATTTATTAGTATCTGCATTCGAGATGATAGTTGGTGTGTTCCTCTTTTCGACTTGTGATCGCTGGGCCCCTTGAGCTGCTTTTGCCCCTAAGCCTTTGCTTAGTGTGCTTATGCACGGCCACTACTGGTCAGAGGTCGCAACCGGGTACCCGATACCCAGCTACCCGTACCCGGCCGGGTACGGGTACCCGTTTGCGACCCTGGTGCGGCCTGGTACGGGTAGGCCGTGAGTTACTGGTGAGTAACCGTTTACACTATGGGGACCTCATTTGCCAGTAAAAATATGATAATTGGTTCTTTACCCTTCTATCTGGCAACAAAACTGACACCTTTTTGCAAGGAGTCATGTTTGCATAGACCGCAATACCTGCAGTTATCAGAGTTATGTTCTTTTGTTTGTATTATGACTGCAGGTATTGCGGTCTATGCAAACATGACTCCTTGCAAAAAGGTGTCAGTTTTGTTGCCAGATAGAAGGGTAAAGAACCAATTATCGAGTAACCGTTTGTCACTCATTTCCCAACGTCTTGTCTCTTCTCACAATTCAAGTTCCTAGATTCAACCCACCCACGCCTGCAACATGGCTTCATCCCAGAGGTCGCAATCGGGTACCCGTACCCTACCCGATACCCGGCCGGGTACGGGTACGGGTACCCATTTGCGACCCTGGTGCAGCCGGGTACGGGTACGGGTAAGGAATCAAAACCCATTTGCGACCTCTGCTACTGGTTGTCTGGCAATTTGTTGCCATGCCCAGGCGCCATGCAAGGTGGTGGAGGGGGGGGGGACGATTTATTGAGAGAGGAGGCACGTTAAGGCCTCGTTAAACAGTCGGGGGCACTGGCACTTCTTAATTTAGGCACCAGTCCAAGCTTCATTAAACCCCGTGTGTGTGCATGCAAGGTTGCTCGTTTTAATTAAAGAGTCATATGACAGCATTTGTTTACAAGTCCTCAGTTAACAATGCTGTGAGCTTTTCTTCCTTTGCTCTTGTATTGAGAAGAACTTGGCTACAACTATATTGTAAACACGTGTCCCACTTTGCCTCTTCATGAGTATAGCCGCTCGTATTATGTTGAACTTCTTTCACACTCTACGTAGCCAACCGTACTCATCGGAGGTGATTGTAAATCGACGGTACAAACTCTTGAAACGTAGGGCATGAAATTAAAAATAGTATAAAGCGCAATTTCCAACTCTTTGTCACTTAATATTTCTGGCATCTCTGTTCTGAAGAAGAGCTATTGCCTGAAACATCAGTTTTCTATTTTTGTGTTATAAGTTAGTATTAACGATTAATATGGTAGTTATATATTCCGTATACATATATAGTATTACATTTTTGTGCCTCCACTCAATATATATTAAGTCTAATAGAAGAATAATTTCTCCTTCATGGTACTGGAACCAGTATTGCTCCGATCTTAAATTGGTACTCCGAAGCCTGCTTCAATGACGACAAGTGGATATTCCATCAGTTTAACACGTCGGCTTTCGCGACCAATATTATTCATAATAAACGTTTTTGGGTTAGATCGCGTTATTTATAAATGTGCTGCTCTATTTAAGACCGGGAGCAAATGAGGGCTTCAGCATTCTGGAAAATTGCCCGATGATGCTAGATGTAATTACCAGCGAAACGTCGTACTCAAAAATTATAAATGTTGTGGTTTCACTCTTCAACACACCGGTGGGCTAAAGTAGTGAACTATTTTGTCTTTTGTCAACGTGACACTTTTTTTGCTGATTGACCGTGTCGGGTGGTGGAGGGTTACGACACATTTATAAATAACGCAATCTAACCCAAAAACATTTATTATGAAGATATTCCATCGTAAGAATTTACCCTGTGCAGCGGTTTGCAATAACCCTCGTTCACTCAGTCCTGAGGGTGGGGAAAAAAAACTGCCACGAAAAGTTACCGCTTGCAAGCTGCTGATCTGATTCGTCTGCGATGTGAGGGTACGACATGGGGCGAGAGTGTGAGGGACACACACGCGCACGTGCGCCGTTGGGTACAGGGAACTGCCCGTCTCGGGAACATACAGAAGAGAACAGATTGATGGTGCGCAGCAAAAAAACACACGGGCACATCCGCCAGTCACACTTGTCTGGGAACAGGGCCAAGAGCTGAGACAGAGATAGTGGGGGGGGGGTAGTAGAAATGGCTTCACGAAGTGGCACAGCATGCTGACAATGGAATAAGTGGTGGTAAATAAACTAGAACTCTGCTGAACAAATACGTTTCTGGGACAAAATGGGGAGTAATGGAGTTTGTTAGTCAGAGTAACTGTTAAGTCGTCTCATGTCAGGCGCAACGCTTTTTACGAAAACATATTTTGCCAAATAAAACACCCACTGACATTTTTCAGGATTAAGATTGTTTTTTCAGAACATATTTCTTTGCAAGGTAGCTGCCGTCGAGCTGTAACATTTTTCTTTATACATATTTTTACTTGCGTGCATCAAACGGACAGATGCGTGCGGCGTCAACAAAACGATGATTTTATTCTTTATCTCCCACCACACCTGCTTTAGTTTTCAACGCTTCAGCGGTGCATTTGTCACAGCTGCACCGCATTCCACCGTGGAGGGATTCGGGGTGGGGTGCACAGCCCAGGCGCAGAGCATTCATTCCTCAGCCGAGCACATGCATGGGGCAAGCTTTGATAAAGGATGCGCTTAACCAGAGGTGTAGGGGATGCTGTGCCTTGGCGTAATGGTTCGTGCGCTCGACTTGCCATACACAGGTCGATCTCCCGACGCGACAGTTGAAACAACGGTGCAGCTTTTATTTAAATGCGCTCCACCTAAATCTTGAATTGAAGCTTTCGTGACTGCAGGAATTCATATTCTTTGGGTCTTTCAGTAAAGTCACGTAGATAGGTTCAAAGAAAATAACAAAAAAAAAGACGACTGCTTGTGTTGCGATCGAAACGTCGTACTTTTTTGTTATTTTCTTTGAACCTATCTACGTGACTTTACCGAAAGACCCAAAGAATATTGCCCTCCACCTCTTTCGACGCAGCAATATTATAAATGGGGCTTACTGCAGTAAATCGGTCCAGTCGGCAGGTCCGCGTGTGTTGGGGTAAA